CTATGCATATCTCCATGGCAATCCGACTGGCCCAAAGCTCTGGAACCAAGCGTCTCCGTCCAAGGAAATGTACTCGTTGTCCACGCGCGGAGAGTGAGAGAAGAGACCAACCAAGTCCTGACGAAAGGTTGGCTGCCCGAAAAACACACAAGGGGTGCTTGGATCAACAAATGGTGAAATGCTGGTCCGCCTGAATATGCAAGATGATGCAAGATGTATGTGTTCATCCATGACCAACACACTCTTGGTCCATGACCACCCATTCTGATTAAATGTGTAGTTCAGGCCTACCTAGGTTGCCGGTGAGAAGCAGTATGAGACATATAGCAATGGATTGAAATTCACAACATTCATTGCAGGACTCTTTGGTGGTGAAGCCATCTGAAAAAAACAGGAAAATCATTGGGTATCATCATACAAGAAAGGATGAAGATGATGCAGGTTCAAGAGAGAATCTACCGGAAACAATGGATCCACTATGCTTTTTACAAGGGAATTACCCTCTGGTAAACACATAACTATGGGAAATCAGCATTTTTCATGGGTATATCAACTAGAAATGTCAATTTTCAATAGTTGTGTTAAATTGCCTAAGGGTAAATTGCTCGGGCATGCTGTTCACCCGACCAGGAGCCAAACCGTTTACCTGTCCTGACTTGACTTTTTCATGAAGAGGCTGATGGAATGGCTATGTTCCTTGGCCAAGACACAAAGGACCAACCAAAAGAGTGGACATGTGGCAGGGTAAAAGTCATAGCACTTGTGTATAATAATATATATATAATACATAATATATCATTACCATAATGTATCAACACATCCAAAATTTGTGTACACATAAATATGGAGCATGTAATATGTATGTGTCTACATGCACACTGCTTAGTCAATCAGTCTCCCCATACGGCAAGGTTCGATGTGGACGCGACTCCAACTCTCTCTCTCTCTCTCTCTGTGAGGTGTTTCGGGGTGAACACCAGGGAACTGGTCCGTGAAGTGTCCTATACCGCCTGTATAGACAAACAACCATATTCATCATAGACATCCCCGCGACTAGGTTATACACTTTGCTGAAGTCAAGGAAATGCACAAGTGAAGGCATAACCAGCCAGGTTCAGCAGTCAACCATCCTCATTGCCGTGTTCCTGGTTTTTTGGCTTTATTATCCCCACATTTTGAGGGTTCAACTAACACTCAAAAAAAGCGGATAATAATCTCTATACTATTGATGGATGTATGTTCACATGTTTGACACTTTAACCCTCCATGTCAAAAAAAAACATGTTGCTTCAAGCATCAACCCTTCATCTGCCAAAGTACCACAATAGCCTCCTTCCACTCACGGCTGGTGTCTCGCGCGACATCTGCCAAGGAGTGTTCTGCCAGCAGGGGGATGAAGTCCTCATCCTCCAAATCACCCGCGGGCTTCGCGGGGAACTTGAAGATCAACGCCTGAGGACTCGAGTGACTAGGTCCTAGGTGGCTCCTTGGTTTACCTTAGTTGGGTATGGTTTCCTTGGTTTACTTAGGTAAGCAGATGTAAGCAGTGAAATAACTGGACTAATCCTGCCTACCTTAGTGAATTGGGGTAAACAAACCACTAAGTGGGCTGAACCAACGAGAAGAAAACCAACATTTACGAAGAAATCTGGGGGTGCATAACTAGCGAAAAAAAAAAAAACAGCCAGTAAAGAAAGACTGGTAATGTGGGATGAAAGAGAAATCTCACATTCTTGGGTGGTTATGTAAATAAAAAAAATCTTCAACTTTAGCCATAAACCATCTATCAACAGTTATTAATCTTGAAATATCAAATGATTAACAAATTAACATGTATTAACCCATTTTAAGCCAAGCATGGGGTATTAGCCATCCCAAGTCGGCTGAGCATCTTGACTCGACCAACTTGAGAAACAACAGAAACATAAGTGAAATAGTGAAGCAACAAGGATTGGGGGATTATGTACATATACATATACACAAATATATAAACATATGTATATATATATATCTACTATACACATTATATTTATGACATTTATTCATTCCCTTGCCGCTTGTCGACGCAAGAAGATTAACCCTCAAAAATGGGTATGGTTCATACAATGAAGCCCCAATGGATGATGAAGTGTAGATAGGGGTTTGAACTTTTCAACTTGGGGTGGGCCAACTGGCAGCCCCATCATATTTTCACCTGCTAAGAGATAAGCAAAATCCATAGCCCAAGGCGCCAGTTGCAGCAAGGAGAGCATCATGCCGATGATGTTGGGACCCCACACCGGCACCTTCCCCGTGCGCACGCCCACGGTGAACCAACAGCTGCTGTTCAGGAAGCCCAGGAAGCTCTGCATCACCGGGAGCGTCCTGAGCAACGGTAAGGTGGGGGCGTCTGGTTTTTGTGCTCCACAGAGATGATATGTAGAGAGAGAGATAGATATATATATAAATATATATATGATTATCAAACATGCTTCTAGATGGCTGCAATAGATAGTAAAAATGTATATGTATAAGTATAGCGCTATACACGGAGCTGCGATAATCATCCTCCCAAGTAGAAGGGCAAAGACAACATCATATTTGGAATAAACAAGTTGGTACTTTTTACCTCTTGCCGTGGTACACCTCATGACACCTCATTGCATCCCGCCCAAGGCCTCATCCTACAAAGGTTTATCCCGTCCAAGCATCTCAGAGGACTTTGTTCTCAGCACTTCTTTCATACCTTGGTGACGAACATGAAGCACCAACTTCCAAGGAGTACCGAGCATGCCACTGGATAGCCACAAACAAACCAAAGGTCATTGAGAATGATTGATCCAAATGCATCATGTTGGTGCAAACAAACCGATTCCTTCACGATGTCAGCCAACATTCCATGGAAGATCGTGCCATGTCATGACATTCACCACAGTCCAAAAGGATGGAACACGACACGCCGATGACATGCAAAGATCAACATCCCCCCAAATTGAAATAGCGGTATACAGCAATTGCGGATCACTGCATTAAAAAAACAAAACCAACCATCTTCCAACAAAAACATCAACGGTCTGTAATGATTCCAATCCCACGGCCATCCCATGGTGACGTCCCAAGGTGCTGGACAAGGGCGCGCCATACATGATGATTCCCACCATCATCCCCAGCACGCCCACATCAGCCGCTCCCCCAAAGGCCGCGTAGGCAAAGATCAACGCAGCAAGGAGGCCGGTGAAAGCCGTGGCGAACGCCTTGGTGGTGAAACCCAAAACGGAACAGTCCCCTCCGGTCCTAAGTCATGGGTAGCCAACAATGGAAGGCTGATAACGGGTAATCTTATCTGGTTGGTGGTTGACCTACCCCTTTGAAAAATGATGGAGTTCGTCAGTTCCCAATATATGGAAAAATAAAATTCATGTTCCAAACCACCAACCAGTTATGAAAATGGATGAGAACTGGGGTTATCCCCATTGTAGGAGACCTCCATGTAGATAGGGAAATTTCATCATCTCTGAATCAAATTGAGAGCCACTGGTCCTCCCTTTCGCGTACACCCAAGTCGCACAGAAGGTTAATGACTTGCTGAATAACTTGAATCTTGTCCCATGATTTTCAACCGCATCAAATCCTCACATGAACCGCAACCGAAAATATAAGTTTATTACCTATACACTAGATATTCACATATTATACAATCCCCAAACGATTGGTGATTGTAATTAATGCCCAATAATACCAATCCAAATTGTAATTGGATGGTGTTTACCACCGTATCACCATTCTATGACATATTGTGCCACTTATCCCGTAAATCATCGTGATATATCCCTATGAAATGGGGGTTCAGTAAGCTGTTATCATTACAATGTGAGGCCCCCCAGTTATAAGTTGGTTTATAAGCCCCAGTAACTATAGTTATAAGTACCATAAACCATAGTTATTGGAGTTGTGTGAACCCCAACTGAACGCTATCGTGGCCGGGGGCCTCACGTTGCTTTCATGATGATAGATTCCCCATGATCATCCTCCAAATTTCTTGGTTACTTTCCTTTTGGAGGTTTCCTAAGTCATGGGGGTACCCCCAATAGCTGGATAGTTTCTGTTAGGGACAATCCTATGAAAATGGATGAGAACTGGGGGTATCCCTATTTTAGAAAACCTCCATATAATCACCCTAGTATCGCTATCATTTGGGGCTTGAATCGCTACATTAAGTGGCTGAATTTTCATAGTTCAATCACCTGAAAATAGCTGCCTGCTATCATACAGTATGGTCTTTTGGTGATGATTTCCCAAATGTAAAGCATCATTCCAGTGACGTCACTGTGTGAGGCCATGATCAAATGAACCCAGATCCCACTATATCGAAAATTAAAAAATGCTTATAGAAGGGTGATCCGATATAACATATATATATATATAATATATACACACATATTTCCTTCATATCTTCCATCTATATCATCCCTATGATTCATAGGTATTCAACTATTTCTATGGCCATGTTCAATAGCTAAATATGTTAAATTACCAGAGGGTAATCCAAAAATTATTCTTGGCTCCACCACATTGGATCTCCGAGTCGCAGCAGTGCGATCCCAGTGCTTGGCATGCGGCTCCTTGCGCGCGAAGCACCAGCAGGCCGATGTGCTGAAGATGCCAACGAAGACCTAGGTGCCCTGCGTGCCCAAATTTTAAAAACACGTGGTGCCATTAATATGATAAATCTGGGTAATGTTGGTAAAACAGCAATAAACCACCCATTTGGGAATGGTTTATACCACCTATTTACGGTGATTTGGGGGATGGTTTATTATTGTTTTACCCACATTAACTTCAATCAATGTCATGGGCTTTCTACATGTGACATGGCAACTGCGTACTGCAATAAGACAATGTGGGATGGACTAATATACTAGTTTATAGCTAACTAGGGACCATCCGACCACAAGTAAAACTGGTCAAAAACACAGAACTTGTGGTGTGAACATACGATTTTTGAAATACGTCCTTGGAGGGTCTAGGGATTTATGACATGATTCTGATGAGAGATATAGCAACATATTTTATATACTATCCTATAATCTCCTATTTTGATCTATGTTGGGGACATTTTGGGATTATCAACTCGTAGCCATTGTACAATGGGGAACATGATGTTCCTAACGATTAGATTTGGGGCAGCGACAGGAAGCCTATAGTAGGAGAGACCCAATGCTCGCCATCAAAAAAGGGCTTGTTTACCATCATCGGTTCAATCATCACAAACAAAATGAATCAAACCAACATCAAACAATGACCAGAACTGGTTGCACACATGAATAATTTTAGATAACATGCAAACACAGCTTCAAAAAGTGAGTTCTTAGTATTTAGTGAGTTAAGCAATATTCCGATTATTTCCGATTCCAAAAAACATCAACTACATAAAACAACTACATTCAACTACCCAGCGAACCCATCGAGCCGGAGCAACTCCATAGGCGTTGCACGGAACGACAGGTGGGACCGGCAAGAACAAACCATAGGCCAGCCTCCACGGCCCGTGCGCTGCTATGGGAGAAACACACGTAAAAAAATGTGTTTGACCAAGGATTTAACTAAAGAATTTGGTATTTCAGCATCAAAACATGGATTTAACATGATTTAAACATCAAAAACAAGCGTTCAAACAACACAATTGGGAACTCAACCAACGAATAATTGACTGACACAATTGGTTTCTCTGAAAATGGTGGAGATCTAAATCCTCCAAAAAAAGGCCATTCAACAATGGGGGATTTATATGTGGGTCAAACTTATGTTTCAATCCATTGGACTTGGGGGATGACATGGGTATTAATATAGACTCTTAAAAAAACACAAAGCCATATCATTGCAGCGACTAAAGTCCAAATTGAGTCAAAATAGAACCTAAAAATCAGGGTACACCAAGTATCAGTTCCTTGGACGTGCATCTTCTAATATAATCTCTGTTTCAGAAGCCCTTTGAAAGCCAACAGTTTTGGGGATAACCCCCAAACCATGCTCATGTTATTTCAACTGCCCTTTGGCAGTCTTCCCCATCTCTCCAAGCAACTGAGTGATGCAATTCAGCGAGAAGCAAAGCAAGTTGATGGGATTGACGTACCGCACTTTCGCTGGCGTGCCACAAACATCGATGGCCCTCAGGAAAACTTCCAGCAAATCTCATCCATGCAAATGGGCATACTATGTCTTTCGGAGTTCCCTGTTATCCCTGTTGATCTATTTTTCTGCACCCAGAAAAAAAAGCACTGCGGTTTTGACCAATACGCACATCCTTGTTGAACTGGACGTTGGGAAGCGGCGCTTGGATAGATTCTAATCATCTAAGTACCTGCAAATTGAAGAACTAGAACCAATATGAACCAATGACCTGCTCTGCGAGGTGTGGATCTTCAAGCTCTGCACATGCGAAGTGGCCATGCAACAACATCATGTAATAGCCTATAGCCAATCCCAATCGCTACATTGATCTGTGTTTTCCCAAGACATCCCGAGGATTTCGGCGAGATGCTGAGACAACGGAGCCGTCATGAAGAAGACCGCGAAGCAAACCGCCACGGTATCCAGGATGAAATCCGCCGCCATTGCGCCAAGAGGTGAATCGCAAGGCGCGCGCCTTGCGCGCAGTGCGGCGCGGTGTAGCAGTGCAGCTATGTGCGGCTCGGTGCATGGGATGTACATTGAAACCTTCTGAAACATCTTGAAACTTCATATGCAAAGTAACTCATACTTTGCTGTTACATGCTGTAATTCCGTACTTCGGAAAAAATGCAGGTCCTGATTTGTAGACTATGTAAAAAGAAAATCTTTGCAGAGCTGAAAACTCTGGTGAGTGACCAGTGAGAACAATATTTGACTTCTCTTTTCAATCCTAATGCTGCAGCCGGTGAGCCAAAGAGGGTGCACAGAGTCCACATGAGTCCACAGGTCAATCTTGGAAGGGGGGCTTTCTTGTAGTATGAAAGCCATTTGGGTAGGATGACTCCGCTGAAGGACATCGTGACTTGCTGCTGGGTAAACTTACTTTCTCGTTGTTGGGAGTCGAAACTGAAAACTCTCCGTGTTTGTTGTGCATGGCAAGCATTGTTGGTTTTGATTTCATGACTTCCTATCCTTTTGTCAACATGTTTCAACTCCCCATCTCGGTCTGGCAGGTGAACTCCATGATTGAAGCTTCGTGTCACCATTTGGCTTTGCCCACAAGTGATGCAAAAAAAACAGATTGCGTGAATTGGGAATGTGATGATTATCATCCCTTAAACGGTGGCTAATCCCTGATAAACAACTTCCAACATGTTTTGATCAGTTTAACCCTAAATAGACCTTAGTGGATTAAGAACGCTCTTAATCTGATGACTGCCAGGCACCTGGTTAAGGCCGTCCTCGATGAAGCCCGACAGGGCCAGAGCTGGGACCTCATTAAACCCTTTTCGAATCTGACAATCGCTGGGATCTTTGGATGTTCAATGATGTTCATACCCCCAAAGAATGGTGCCATAGATTCTAAGCCATCATCCATGATCATGTGTCTGATGTTATAACTGGCAAATTTTGAGTCAGCTACAATTTGCTCTAATAGGTATTGACCCGTCCAAATAAAATGGTGGGAAAATATGATGGTGAGGAAACAACATGGTGGCACAACAAATTGATGCAATGTTAAAGGACTTGTTTGGGTTAAAACATGAAACATGGTGTCACTCTTGAGGGGTGTACCCTTAAGTGTACCCAGCAAGAAAGACAGCAACGAACCACAAACAATTTGTTTTAGTTGCATATAACTGGTATGACAGTCTTTTAGATTTGTCATGGCGAAAACATTGACATATCAATGTTTATGAACGTGTTGTCCTATCCAATTGGCAAATTATTGCAAATGATTAGGCACTGAACCACTCTTGGGGATATGTTTTGGCATTTGCCCATCAAGAGAGAATGGGCAACCAACCAACAAAGGGCCACCAAGTCAATGGATTTCTGTGATCAATGGGCCACTAACATGGCTATCTAAATCTACCTAATCACCAATAAAGGACTGGGCTAGCATCTTGCTAAGTATCTAAGTGGGGTGAACCAGCAAATACGTTCTACAAAAAACATGCCCCATCGGCCTCGCGCAAGCGGTAATGTCCAGACAATGTGACTCGTAGATCCTGCAACAAATCCATTCATTTCTCGAAGAAAAAATATGTGTAAAATGCGCCAATATATGCTTCTAGCGTTTTGCGTCTGACAAAAGTCGTAAGCACGTATATATGTGCATATATATATATATATATATATATATACTTGTATATATATATATATATATTAATACATACTATCTATCAAACACCTCCAGCCAGTGTAAATATACAATAATACACAATAAACAACATGCGTACGGCATTACGGTACATGTAAAACGCAAAAAGGATGTACCACTGGTTGCAACTCCTGTCGACGGACGGAAGAACGCCGGGCCTGAGCAGCGAGCATCACAGGCCCTTCACACATTTATCTAGCACACATGGGGAATGTTCACTAACCCTGATATGGGATATTATATATATATATACACACACATGGTCTGTATATGTACATATTGATATCCATCCAGGCAGGGAGATCACTTTGGCCATATAAATTTCCATCACTTTGGTCATACATCATCCTATGACCGATGATGATCACTTCGGGCAAAACAATCCAATCACTTTGACCATAAATCAGAGTTTCGTATCCAATGATGATCACTTTGGTCACACATCTCCATCACTTTGGGTATATATATATGTATATATATATATATATCGATTTGTCGGACGGAAGATTGTCACTTTGACAATACATTTACATCTCATTGGTCACAAACTTCCAGGTTATGCATCCCGAACACACGTTTAGGGTTACCTCTCTTTCCTTACCCCAAGAGCAACAGGACATTGCTTTTGCACACACCGTGCTTCTCTAAATGCGAGGCAAACGTCGCAACCTTGCACGTCTTTCAGAAATTTAGTGTACGCCGGAAAGCCTGCACACTCTTTCGCTCATCCCTCAGCATCTTCTTATAAAATGCTTGTGGTGCAGTGTCATTTTGATGACATGTTAGTCTGCGGAAAAAAAGCAAAAAGAGCCGCTCCCTAATAGCCGCTCCACAGATCAGAACAACTAGCACCTTTTTTGCAACATAAGCCCAAAGAATATCCCCAACTCTTGTTGCTATGTCTATGGTGGTGCTGGTGCTGGTGGTAGCTGTGATGCTGGCAGTGGAGGTTCAGGAGGATAAGAAAAGCAACCATTCAAACGAAAGCCGGTGGCGGACGCGGGGGACGGCACGCATATGTTCCAGCACAAAAGCAAATAGCAGCAAGTGCCAGTTGGGCGCAGCAATGACAATAGAACCGGTCGTAATTAGCAGCAACAAAAGCAGCAAAAAGAAGAAAGGAACTCAGCATACTAGGCGTAATAGTAATTGAGGAGTGGGAGGATAGAAAGAGCAGCAATTAAAATCACACTTGGGTGGGCCGCGCGGGGGAAAGGAGCAGCGTTCCAGAAACAAGATGTGAGAACTGACCACCAAGAGCCAAGAACCAAGAACCAGGTGTCTTTCAGGTTGGAGCCTAGGGTTTAAAACAAAGCAAAGAGAAGAGGATTAGGTGTGTTTAGGGTTTTGGCGTAAGAAGTAGGTGAAAGGTTGAGTCAACCCGAACTTTAATTTGGCAGACACCTTTTTATGGACATAATGGTATGAGTCTCCAAAAACCAGGAAACGACCACTGTTTTTCTACCTCACAGTTTTTCTACCTCAGAACAATGTTACAGAAACATGTGCTTCGTATTCTTACTGTGCAGGTCTGTGTTGAGCGCATGCGGAAGTTCATGCAAGAATCTATGCATCCATGTTGTGAAACTCATGTACATCGTCTGAAAACCATACAGGGGGGCGTCTGCGCCATTGCTTCTCGAGGCCATCTTGCCGCGGACATCGTATCGCCGATGGGGAATATTCCAGCTGCAGGAGGCTCCCTTCTTTTGTGGGGAGGGGGTTGCATCGGTAGCATAGCAGAATGCGGTGGAGGTGATGACGGCGAGTTTCCACGGTGGTTTCTATACAAAAAAAATTGGATTTGTTTTTCTTTTGGTGGATATCTGCTGGATCACAATCTGGATCGTCAATTTTTGCAGGTGTTGTTTTTTTGGTGAGAGTGGCGTGTGGACATGTAGTGCTGTCCATGCCGACATCATCGGTACCTTTGTGGGCTTTGATTGTATTTGACTAGAAACAGTGCAAAAACTGATGGTCACAAGGTCAGGGGCCGGTTTCTTTAGTTGTGCAGAGCCCGGACATGTTTCTGATACGTTGTCCATTGTGTACAGTGATGTTAATCGTTTGAAAAGTACAGGCCCACAGCCGCGAAACATATACTATACAGCACTATGGCCAAGCATTGCTAAGCGCAAACAAGGACAGTTGGTACGCACATGCATGCCACTATAAACGATGTATATAGATATTTAGATAGATAGATAGATAGATAGACAGACAGATAGATAGATAGATAGGCAGGCAGGCAGGCAGGAAGACAGATAGACAGATAGATAGATGGATAGCTAGACAGATAGATAGATAGATAGATAGATAGATAAATAGAGAGAGAGAGAGATAGATAGATAGATAGATAGATCGATAGTTAGATAGATAGATGGATAGATAGATAGATAGATATAGGTAGATAGATAGATCGATAGATAGATAGATAGATCGATCGATAGATAGATAGATAGATAATGATAGATAGATAGATTAGATAAATAGAAAGATAAATAAATAGATAGATGATTAGATTAGATTAGATTAGATTAGATTAGATTAGATTAGATTAGATTGGACTAGATTAGATTAGATTAGATAGCTAAAATTAGGTAGATTAGATAGATAAGATAGAAAAATTAGAACTATAGATTAGATATATTAGATAAACTAGATAGATTAGATATATTAGATAGATTAGATAGCTTAGATAGCTTAGATAGATTAGATAGATTACATAGATTAGATCGATTTGATCGATTTGATAGATTAGAAAGAACAAATAGAACAGATAGAAGAGATAGAAAAGATAGAACAGATAGAGCAGATAGAAAAGATAGAACAGATAGAACAGAAAGAACAGATAGATTAGATAGATTAGATAGATCAGATCGATTAGATGGATTAGATGGATTAGATGGATCAGATAGATTAGATAGATGGATTAGATAGATTAGATAGATTAGATTAGATAGATTAGATAGATTAGATGGATTAGATGGATTAGATAGATTAGATAGATTAGATAGATTAGATAGATTAGAAAGATTAGGTGGATTAGATGGATTAGATGGATTAGATGGATGAGATGGATTAGATGGTTTAGATGGATTAGATGGATTAGATGGATTAGATGGATTAGACGGATTAGATGGATTAGATAGATTAGATAGATTAGTTCGATCAGATCGATTAGATAGATTAGATATATTAGATAGATTAGATAGATTAGATAGATTAAATAGATTAGATAGATAAGATAGATAAGATAGATAAGAAAGATAAGATAGATAAGATAGGTAAAACAGATAAGAAAGATAATATAAATAAGATTGATATGATAGATAAGAT